AGAAGAAAAGACAAGCAAAATAGCAGAGATGGAGCAGCAGAAGCTCTGGTAACTAGAGGACGCTCACAAAACCAGAGAAAGGGGACGAGAAGAAGATCCAAGTCAAGAGCCAGACTAAGTAAAGATGAGTGTGCCTTTTGCAGAGAGAAAGGGCACTGGAAGAAGGACTGCCCAAAACTGAAGGGTAGACCTGACAAAGAAAAAGCTGTTGCGGATTCAAATGTATCTGAGTGCATTGATCAAAACTCAGATTTTTCATTAGCTGTCATGCCTACTGGTCATTCTAGTACATGGCTATTGGACTCAGGTTGTAGCCATCATATGACGTCCAATAGAGAATGGTTCTTTGATTTCAAGGAAAAAAAAGGTGGAGTCGTCTACACGGCAGATGAGACCACATTAGCAACAAATGGGGTTGGTTCAATTCGGCTAAGGAATCAGGATGGATCAATTAAGATTCTAACTGATGTCCGATATGTGCCAGAATTGAAAAAGAACCTCATTTCTGTGGGAGTACTAGAATCAATGGGCTACAAGGTGTCGGCATATAATGGAGTGATGAAAATCATTTCAGGTGCATTGGTGCTGGTGAAAGGAATCCGAAAAAATAATAACTTGTATTACTATCAAGGTAATGCAGTTGTTGGAGTAGCGGCCGTGGCTTCCAGTGATGATCGAGAATTGAAAGTAACCAGATTATGGCATATGCGCTTAGGGCATGCCGGAGAAAAATCTTTGAATCTTCTGATGAATCAAGGACTATTAAAAGGAGCCAGTGTTTGCAAGTTAGATTTTTGCGAGCATTGTGTCAAAGGAAAGCAGACAAGGGTAAAATTTGGCACTGCAATTCACGATACCAAGGGTATTTTGGATTATGTGCACTCTGATGTGTGGGGACCTTCCAAAACAACTTCTTTGGGAGGCAAGAATTATTTTGTTACCTTTGTCGATGACTTCTCTCGAAGAGTATGGGTGTATACTATGAAGGCGAAAAGTGAAGTATTGGGAATTTTCATCAAGTGGAAAAAGATGGTGGAAACTCAAACAGAAAGAAAGATCAAACGCCTTCGAACAGACAACGGAGGTGAATACACTAGTGATCCGTTCATGGAGGTCTGTGAAAATGAAGGCATTGTTCGGCACTTCACAGTCAGAGATACACCACAGCAAAACGGGGTGGCAGAGCGTATGAACCGGACATTGGTGGAGAAAGTTCGGTGTATGTTGTCCAATGCTGAGTTGGGCAGACAATTTTGGGCTGAGGCTTTAGCATATGCAAATCACCTCGTTAATCGCTTACCATCAACTGCTATTGGCGGCAAAACGCCATTAGAGAAATGGTCGGGAAAACCTGCTACAGATTATGATTCCTTACATGTGTTTGGTTCTACTGCATATTATCATGTTAAAGAATCAAAGTTGGATCCAAGGGCGAAGAAGGCGCTCTTTATGGGGATCACAACAGGCATTAAAGGTTATCGCCTTTGGTGTCCCGAAACGAAAAAGATAGTTTTCAGCAGGGATGTCACCTTTGATGAATCTACCATGTTAACAAAGGTAGATGTACAGCAGAATGATAGTACTCCCCAACAGGTGGAGAGCACTCCTAAGCAGATGGAGTTTGAAAGAAGCATTATCAGACCAGCAGTGGATATCGGAGTAGATGAAAGGACTCCTATGGTAGAAGAAGAATCAACTGAAGAAAATGTTCCAGTTGAAGAACTTTCACAGCAACATGAATCAATTGCAACCAGTAGGCCAAAGAGGACAATCAGAAAACCTGCTCGTTTTGCTGATATAGTGGCCTATGCATCCCCAACCATAAATGTTGATATTCCTGCCACTTTCAATGAAGCAGCTCAAAGTTCGGATAAAGAAAAGTGGAGGATTGCAATGGATGAAGAAGTACATTCCCTTCATAAGAATCAAACATGGAGGCTAACCAGTCTTCCAAAGGGAAAGAAGGCAATCGGATGCAAGTGGGTATATGCAAAGAAGGAAGGATTTCCTGACAAGTCTGGTGTTCGCTACAAAGCAAGATTGGTGGCTAAAGGCTACGCTCAGAAGGAGGGAATTGATTACAACGAAGTGTTTTCTCCAGTCGTGAAACATTCCTCCATCAGAATTTTATTGGCTTTGGTAGCACAATTGGATCTGGAACTTGTCCAATTAGATGTAAAAACTGCGTTTTTACATGGTGACTTGGAAGAGGAAATCTACATGACTCAGCCAGAAGGATTCAAAGTTGCTGGTAAAGAAAAGATGGTATGCAAGCTTGACAAATCGTTGTATGGATTGAAGCAGTCTCCAAGACAGTGGTATAAGCGATTTGACAAGTTTATGATGGGGCAAAGGTACACAAGAAGCAAATATGATGATTGTGTATATTTGCGCAAGCTACGAGATGGATCCTACATATATCTTCTTCTTTATGTTGATGATATGTTGATAGCTTCCAAGGATCAAGGTGAGATTGAAAAATTGAAATCTCATTTGAGTCGGGAGTTTGAAATGAAGGATCTCGGCGAAGCCAAGAAAATTCTCGGCATGGAGATAAGTAGAGATAGAAGATTGGGGAGGCTTTATTTGACACAGAAAGAGTATCTTAGTAAAGTATTAAAGAGGTTTGGTATGAATGAAAAGACTAAACCTGTTAGTACTCCACTTGCTCCTCATTTCAAGTTTAGTGCATCGTTATCTCCAAAGAATGATGCAGAACGAGAATATATGGCAAAGGTACCGTATGCAAATGCGGTGGGTAGCTTGATGTATGCTATGGTGTGTACAAGGCCCGACATTTCACAAGCAGTTGGAGTTGTGAGCAGGTACATGCATGATCCTGGCAAGGAGCATTGGCAAGCTGTGAAATGGATTTTACGGTATATTTTGAACACCGTAGATGTTGGATTAGTATTTGAGCGGGATGAGAAGATTGGTCAAGGCGTAGTTGGATATTGTGATTCCGACTACGCAGGAGATCAAGATACACGTCGATCAACGACTGGGTATGTTTTTACACTTGCTAAGGCACCAGTCAGTTGGAGGTCTACCTTACAGTCAACAGTTGCTTTGTCTACTACAGAGGCGGAGTATATGGCAGTTACGGAAGCTGTTAAGGAAGCAATTTGGCTTCATGGATTGCTTGATGAATTGGGAATTGGACAGAAGTCTATCAAAGTTCATTGTGATAGTCAGAGTGCTATTCATTTAGCAAAGAACCAAGTTTATCATGCAAGGACGAAGCATATCGACGTACGGTATCATTTTGTGAGGAAGATTTTGGAAGATAGTACGATACTACTTCAAAAGATTCAGACCAAGGAGAATCCTGCTGATATGCTTACGAAGGTTGTGACAACTATCAAATTCCAACATTGTTTGAATTTGATAAATGTTGTGCACAACTTGAAGATTGGCGCTTGACAACGCATTTGAAGACACCACCGAATTTGAGGGAAAAAAATTTGTATTTTTGGTGGGATTAGAAATTATGCCAAGGTGGAGATTTGTTGAATTCAAAGCCAAGCCTCAATTGATGACTTTTTCAAGCCAAAATTGAGGACTTTGAATTCTTTGGCCTAAGTTTCTAAATCCCACATCGGTTAAGTTTAACATTTGAGAGGTTGTTTGAGAACTATAAATAGCTCTCAAACAAACCAATTCAAGTACACCAAGCAAGAGCCAATAACTTGCTTTCTTCTCTCTCTTTGTAATATTTCTTCTAGTGAAATATTAAATTGTCGGTAGTGTCCGAGGACGTAGGCAAATTAGCCGAACCTCGTTAAATTCTGGTGTTCTATTTTATTGTCTATTTAGTAGCTATATTTGTAGGTATATTTGTAGTGAGTTATTGTGCAATTAAGTGCATATATAGGTGATTCTGTCTAGGAAATTGGTACTTAAGCAGGCCAGTGTGCCTCACCAAATATTTCCTGGGAATTACCATTTTGCAATTTTAGGTACAATAATTTACTCGTTATACCTTAACTTTGGTAGGGCTTCCGCAACATAAAAGCATTCATTGTTTTGCAGGATTAAGCACATTGCTATATGGGTTGAACAATATACTTAATAGTTACAGACGAAGAAGCATGGATTCAGATTCTCTGTGATTACACTAGTAATTGCAGATGTACAGTTGATAGTAGCAGATGGGATGGTCTGAAGTTGGATAGAAGGGATATATATTGTCAAAAAAAGTATTACATTTTTATATATTATTGTGCTGTGTTAGTACTGCTGTTATTATGCTAGTGTCCGTATTATCATACAGTTGAAACTAATAACTGTTTATGCCCTGGATCCAAGAAGCATGAGCCGAAATCACTGTGGTTTAGATCAAATGCACAGCAGACGAGCCTAGAAAATTGGGGGTATATATTTTCAGACGGTTCAAGGCAAGAGCTGCATCCAACTAAAGTCACAAGCAAGAATATCAAAGCTACTGCATATGTTTATCAGACGTGCAGGTGCTTTAGGGATACCAAAAAGCATAGAAATTAAACAGAAAATCGAATTTTAAGTATAGTTGTACGTGTACATGACAAACAAGAAGGCGACCTGGAATGATCTGAGGTATGGCTAAATTGCTCATGCAGAAATTTGATGATAAATAAACTAGAACTACTTGATTATGTCCGGAAAATTGTTGGTCCATGCCATTAAACTGATGACAACAAAGCATGGAATTTATGACGTTAAAGTATTAGAAAGACATACTGAACAAAGTGGTTCATCAGAAACAACTTTAATACTAGTTAACAGAGCCAACATACTAGTTATCTTCAATTCGTTTTCTATCCTAAAATGTGTATTCCACTCGACATACTTGCCTTTAAGTTCGTTAATGCTGATATTCAACATTTCATCTCCTCTCGTGATCAATTAATCCCATTAAGCAGATAGAATTTCTTTGTTGTCTTTTTGTCAAACTTTAACAAGTGTATATACATGCACAAAGCAAATACACTGACTGACAATAACTTTCAGAACCCTGCATCTCTTGAAACCTTTTAATTTCTGTTGTTCATTTGAACTGTCTCAATTCCTGTATTGCTCTAGGACTTTTAAGTCTTTCCCAGTCATGGCATTTTTCGTCAGTTTTTCTTGCAGACAAATTAGATCAACACCTGCATTGACCTGCAAGAACATGAGGGCGAACCAGTGAGCAACAAGGTGGCGAACCAGATATTGCTGTGAAACTTATGTAACTAATTCATCACAATTGTACCTCAGTTTGGATTGTGTAAAGAAATTCTTCATTGACTTTGGTGCAGACACAGCTAACAACAGCAAGACCTTCATCAAGCAGCACATCCAATATCTTTGATAGAGGAAACCATTTAGTATCTGCCAAGTAATTCTTCATCAGAATCTCAATTCCACCACCCGAGCATTGCCTGAGTGTGAACTTAATAGCAGAAGAGTTCGTTTCCTCAACAATTTTGACGTCCAGATTGCTCGATCCAGCCGTTAAATTTATTTGCTTATCCCTTTTTACTTCCAATTCCCTAATGTTCTTCTTCATGTGTTTTATATGGTTCACTGCATCAAGAAGATGATCCGAAATGGAACGCTTTGTCTGAAAAAAGAAAAAAAATCAATACATCTTCAAATCTTACAGTTCTAAAAACCAGCCAAAAAAAAAGTACAAATGAGTCAACAATGTATTTTGTTGGGCGGGAAAAAGGAATATGTGTATAAGGGTTGTAAAAGGCGAAAATTTTAAGTAAAATCTCACCAGAATGGGAATCAAAAACTAGATATCCGTACTTCTGATTATCCATAAAAATTGAGAATTCACCAATTAATTGAATTAGCAAGTCCAGCTTAATCACCTTTTTACATTCAAGAGGCAGTAGATTTCTGAGAGAAGCATAAAGCTTCGCCATTTCTTGCCTCCTTCGGCGCTCGATATCTCTATGATTGGCTTTTTTCTGCTTGCTCTCATCAGGGTTCTTCCCACGATCATGATTATCAGCTCGAATAGCTGATGATGCCTTTGTCTGCCTTTTCCGGGCCGTGTTGATGTTGTTCCTGATGATGATCTCCTCAGTCTTTTCTTGACGTGAAGCAAGCGAAGATGCAACCACCTGATTTTGCAGATCTTGATGAGGGATTGCGGGTTCTAGGTCGGGATGAACTGTTGAGATTGGCAAATATTCAAAAAGCATTGGATCATCTTGCAGTAAAGGAATCAAATTATAAGTAAAGTCATCCATGTTAAGACAACTGCTTTCTTAGAATGATATCTTATGATATGATTAAGCTACCAAACCAGGATACGTTTATTAGGGTAATTCATACTATTAGATCTCTTAAATGGTAAGAAGAATCTCGGATTCCTGCATTTTTTTCATAAACAAATAGAAATCAGGACTGAGTATTGTCCTTCTCTCACCTGCCATTCTTTTTCTTTAAAGCTTGCTTGGTTCGTGGACAGCTTAGTTTACACCTTGGAGTCCAACTTCTCACCTACAATCATATTAAACAAAACGTGGTATTAAACTATCATTATTCAACTTTGATTGAATGATAAGTAAACTTTCCTCAAAAAAAGAAAATGACACGTAAACTTGACCTAATAATGCAAGAAGTGCATTGTTCGAATTTCAATATTTTTATTAACTTTTTTGAAGTTTTCTTCTATCAGTTAAGGAGTTGGGGACCATGGTTAGGGTCGTTTTGCAATAGTGTACTTGGATAAATGATCCATTATAATTTATAAAGATATATGGGTTTTGGTTAAGGGGTTGATCCTTTTTGTCTATATTTTATTTTATTTTTGTTGAATTTTACTGCTTGGTGAACTTTTTACTGGTGTTCTCGTTATTGCAATGTGAAATCTTACTCTGTGACAAATGATTAGCTCGTATTTGGTCGACCAAAGATTGATTTTTCACATCAGAAAGGGATTTCCATGTTAAAAAAGGAAAAAAAAAGAAAAAAGAAAGAAGGAGGACCCTTCTTTGTCTATCTTGAATTTGGAAGTAAGTATTGAGGTTTCTAACGATGAACTGTTTGAGAAAATTAGTATAACAAAAAATATGTACATATTTTAAAGCATGTGTTTACTATCTTTAACGTGTTGTTTGTCCATTCTTAGTAAAAGCAAATTATCTCTAAGTTGCTACAGAGTCTACAAAGATTTTCTTTTTCACTTTCTTTTTTCAAAGTCTACAGAATTAGTGTTTGACATTTTTGTACTTGTAGAGAAGAATGTAGTGCAAAAAGACAGGCTATAATTAACAAACTATTTTGACCTTTTTCCTTAAATGGAGATGTCTATTTAAATTAAGAGTCCCGATAAATTAAGAGTCCCACTGATCACGTTACAATTTGAGTTTTCGATTTTCTTGATTTTGCAAAAATAGTGTGGTGTGTACATGAAATTACAAACACACCCAAGACATGGAAGAAATCTTTTTTCTTCACCAATTTGCCATCTCATTCCCTATCTAGAGTTTAGACTTTGTAACTTAGAAGTCAATACCTCAAAAATAGTGTAGGGATGATTGAGAGAAGGGTTGTTGAGTGAATAGCAAAAAGTAATAGGAAAGGAGGAGAGAGGCGGAGATGAAATTAGAGGGACTTAAGAGAAGGATGGGAAGAAGAACAATAGGAACTCTGATAGAATGCTTTTAGTCAGATGAGTTGGTAGCAATCTCACCTAAGATAAATTATGTGGTCATAAATTTTTTGTAACTCCTCTCAAAGATATTTTTCAAGCACCTACTTAATCGATATTTATTAACACACCTAAATTCTAAGTCACCTATCATATACATATACATATTAATAATTTTTCTAATTATTTTTTTAAAAAAATCTAATACGTAAAGTACATTTTAACGAGTACCCATTTAAACAGACTTAAATTATAGCCTCTAAAATGTCAACCCCGAGTGGCCCCGTCAGATTTAGTTTGTAACTAGAATTTATACCAACTAATGCTGTTAAACTCTGATTCAAACAAATTGTTGCTGAAATTAATGGGAGAGACTTTAGACAATCAATTCACAAATCTAAGTAGCTTAAGTGTTCAAATGCCATTGTCAAGATAATTAAACATGTTTTATTCAATTTATATTTAGATATAAACCAGATACGAATTGAAAAAAAAAAAAAAACTTTCCCACCAATTTTTTCCTTCAAGCATACGAAATACTAGTTTTTCTTCCAATGTGGGACAATAATTCACCTTGTACAGAATACATTTAATCATACCTTCAGCTAGTCATGCAGATCTTATAAAATTGAAATGAAAATTTGATAATTATACATACATACATACATACATATATATATATATATATATATATATATATATATAAACAGAGAATATAAAGTTCCATAAACAAGAACATCACAATGATCAATGGCATTAAAATCACACATCTTTAAGTACAGTTTTCATGTATACATACTACTGAAGTTGATTGTTGGTTGTCAAAAAGGATGAAGGATGTTCTTTTATATGCATCATGGGTGAGCTTTTATTGCTTCTTAAGAAAAACATGCTAGACTCCATATCTTCATACTCAAGAGAAATCTCGATTACTAAATATTTAATTGAATATTTAACGGAAAAAGAGAGAGAGAGAGAGAGAGAGAGAGAACCCTTGAAGAACCACTAATAAAGAAATGATAAAGGATGCATTTCGAAACTGAAAATGCTGGCTCCTGATCCTGAAGGATAGATCCACAAGAGGGTGGCAGGGGGACAGCGTGTGTGCCAATATGCCATGTTCTTAAGAGGCTCATTCAGTCCTAAACCAGCATAAACAATGAGGTTCTGGATTTTGCTTGTCAGGCTGAAGATATGGAGCTGCCTGATTCCTTCATAATTGATGTATTATACTATTGGCATAAAATCAATGCCATTGCAAATTGCATTCCAACTTCCCCACTGTTGATTTAAAAAATGGAAGAAGCTACAAGATCGGAGTTGTTATTGCTTTATTGGGATTTGGCTCTTTTTTATTTTATAGTTCTCTTCCATTTAATTGGATTCTTTTTTTATTATTTTATTATTTTACTTTTTTTTTTAACATTTGCCAACTTGATTACTTGTATATACTTCTAAAAGAGACTGTAATGCGTCACTATTTTTGGAGCGTTTTACAAAGACAAATCTTACTAAGAAAAATTAGGAACGTAGACCACTCTTACCCATTAAAATTCTTAATTCTATCATTATCTCATTTTCTACCCTTAAATTTTAGATACTTCTGCCAGTATTTAACATTCTAAACGATACAACTAAAGATTGAGGGATACGGCATCTGTAATGTTATTAGATTCATTTTGCTAAAATATCATATAAATTATAATATAGAACACTCGTAAATTTTCAAAGAATATTCAAAAAAAGTTACATGAAAAAAGAAACCACCACCACTATCACCCTGTTGCCCCCTCTCCAGGCTAGTCACCACCTCCCTCCCCTTTTCTCTAGTCACCCTTTCCTGTTGAGTGTGTCTTTGTATCCCACATCGGGACTTTTATAAAGAAGTATCTCCTCTTGATAGTTATAAATATAGTGGACTTAAGTAACTTTAAGTGTACTAAGGGTACCAGCCCAAGTGCCATGTGCACCAGTCCAAAAGAGTTTTGGAGGGCCCGCGCCTCAATCTGATAGGAGTTTTGGTTTGGCATCAAACCAAAAGAGCAAGTCATGGGCCTTTGGACCATTAAGCATCTAGTGCTATTTAGACTCTTTTGTGTTTTCAGTTTTAGGTGCCTTTTGGACCCTGGAGTTATTTTCTAGGATTTTGTACTCTCTTTCTGTTATAGTAAATCTGCTACCCCTTCGCCTATGGATGTAGGTCGATTTGACCGAACCACGTAAATTTTGTGTTTCTCTGTTTGATTTATTTGTTCTGTTATTGTCATTATTGAATTGGCAAGAACTCTATTATTTTCGTTGGTCAATTTCCTGGGACCAAACTTAACAAACTGGTATCAGAGCTTCAAAGTTTGGGTCATGGTCAGATTTTAGGTTCTTAATGACAATAACAAGTTTGGGTGCTACAGAGAATGAATAGAAAATTTTCGTTGGAATTCAGTTGGGTTTTTGAGAAGAGTTATTTGGCCCGTTGGAACTCGTTGAAGGTTTTGAGAAGAAGGTGGAGCACGACTACTATGTTCGTGGTTTTTAACCCGTTGGGATCTATTGAATCTTTTGTGAGATTTGGCCCGTTGGGACCTGTTGAGCCTTTTGCATCTTAGTTTGTTGGTGGCTCGTTGTGGTTCGTTGGAACTTTTGTGATTCGTTGAGATCCATTGAAACTTTTATGAAGAAGGTGGAGTTTGTTTGCTATTTATCTACTATTTATCGATGTTTTATCGATGTTGGATACACGTCAAGGTAGAGATTTGTTGAGTATATCTTTGTATCCCATATTGGAACTTTTATAAAGAAGTATCTCCTCTTGGTAGTTATAAATATAGTGGATTCAAGTGAATTTAAGTGTGCTAAGGGTACCAACTCAAGTACCATGTGCACCAGTCCAAGAGAGTTTTGGGGGGCCCACGCCCCAATCTAAGAGGAGTTTTGGTTTGGCATCAAACCAAAAGAACAAGTGATGGGCCTTTGGACCATTAATCATCTAGTGCTATTTAAGCTCTTTTGTGTTTTCAGTTTTAGGTGCCTTTTGGACCCTAGAGTTATTTTCTAGGGTTTTGTACTCTCTCTTTTGTACCTCTTTCTATTATAGTAAATCTGCTACCCCTTCGCTCTTGGACATAGGTCGATTTAACGGAACCACGTAAATTTCGTGTTTTTCTGTTTGATTTATTTGTTCTGTTATTGTCATTACTGAATTGGCAAGAACCCTATTATTTTCATTGGTCAATTTTCTGGGACCAGACCTAACATTTCCCTCTCTTTCCCGTCCATACCTTCATCTTCCACCACCACTATCTTACCACACATTCTCTACCCTCCTCTTCCTCTTTCCACCCATTCTCCATCTTTGCTTTCATCCCCTTCCCGTGACCTCCACTCCCTTCCTTCTAGACCAGATTTGTAGTTTCTTATAAAGTCAGTTTTGTTTCTACCTTTCAAATGAGTTGGAACCGATAGTTTTCAAATCAGAGCTGGTAGATCTGGAACTGTGACTATTAGTTAAGTACAACAATCATGGAAATGTTAATTACCTTCAAATCTTGTTCCAAATTAGAAATTACAAAAGGAGAGCAATTGACGAACATATTAATTAGTGGTTCATCTTGGGAGGAAATCCCTCATCTTTGCTTGAATGAGGTTGTGTA